TCATCAGCAATTATAAAAACAAGACGCAAGGCTCGAATAATCGTATCTCCTCCTCGCAAATTGTCCACTTTTGTTAACAAGCCGATTAGGAAAATTAGGGTGAAATATGGGTGAGGTATGTACTTGACAGCAACGTTGCAACTCCGGATACGCGTTCGCGAATCCTGGAATCGGGCGGTTCTTGTTTGTTGCCGTTGCAAGACCTCTACGAACCACGCCGGATAAACTGGAAGACGATTGATCGAGAGAGAGAGAGAGAGAGACTGCGGAACACGAAATTTATTTCTCAATCAGACAAAATAGACGTTGCGTCACCGACACCGGGTTGATCCATTTGTTGCGCCTAAGCGTTTGTATAATATTATACTACGTGCATCGGCAAAATGACGTGCACATCCCGTAATCGTAATCTATATTATTCCAATAAATATCCCAATTTCGAACGCTGTGTTTTGGCGATACTATTTCTGAACATGTTGACAATTGTTATAATTGTGTGACATAAATTAATTTCTAGGCTGCAAAAATGAATTTCAACTTGCGAACAAACTTCTATATTATTAGAGCGTTCCGTCGACTGAAAAATTCAGCGAAGATTGAACCTGCGTTCGTTGGTCGAAATGTCGAGGACGCAACGGTTGAGTAGAAGAACGCGTTACCACAGGGTTGTTTCGCGGACAGCTGAATGAGCCAGCGAACGATAGAACAAACGACGACGGACTTTCGTACCTAATTGTCTGCGCGCACAGCGCGAACAACAGAGAAGAAGTAGCAAATAGACGGCGCGACGATGGCCATCGGTCCGATTGGACTTCGGCCATCGCCCCGAGGTGGACCAAGAAAGTGACATTTCGGCATTACAAAACCGGCCTCGTTTCATTAGAAAGTGTTCCTAATCACCACTTTTCCTCGTGAACTCTGCCCCCGAACTCGCCCGCATTTTAAAACCTACGAAATCCGATACTCTGCTGCGTACACACAGGGTGTATAAAATATACGTACAGTAATGTCTCTCTAATTGACGATCAGTTTGTCCACAATGATGGACAATTTGGGAAGAGGAGATACGATTATTCGAGCCTCGCGGTTTACTTTTATAGTTATAAATTGTCCACGATTATAAAAACGAGCCGCAAGGCTCGAATAATCGTATCTCCCCTTCCCAAATTATCCAATTTAGTGGACAATCTGAGCGTCAGTAAGGGAGACATATAGATACAGTAATGTCTTGACGCTCGGTTTGTCCACAAAAATGGACGATTTGGGAAGAGGAGATACGATTATTCGAGCCTTGCAACTCGTTTTTATAGTTGTTGACAATCGATAACCATAAAAAACGAGCCACAAGTCTCAAACAATCGTATCTCCAAATTGTCCATCTTTGTGAACAATCTAAGCGTCAGTTTGGGAGACATTACTCGGTTTATCGAATATTTAGCTCGAGAATGATCTCCGTTTTCCAAGGAGATTTTCGTCGTTTCCGATGAAACGACTGTGTCGAAGTAAAACATATTTTTCTTTCGGTTCGAAAAACGAAAGATCAACGCGTTGCAGCGAATGAAAGATTTTTCTCAGGGTGTGTGTGTGTTCCGCGATTTTCACATCAACGTTCTAGATAAAAGTTGCGCACTTTTTTACGCAGAATACGATTCCGAAATGAAAAATATACACTTATGATAAAGAAAAGCAAGACGACCTTGAAGTAACTTTGAAAACGATCGCGTATGAAGAAACTGACGGGGCCATTCGACTCCTTGCTCGAAATACCAAAGGACACGTGTCGGTTTGTTTTATTTTTTTTGAGCCACGTGTCTCCGAGATTTTTTCGCGATCTCAATTGAAATTGGCCACCCTGTATATATATTTCCAAACGCTGCAAATTATTGCGATCGCTTCGAGAGTGTCCCCCTTGGTTTCTGCTACTTGAGAATTTTATAAAATCAAAACTTGTTAACCCGCATTCGGAATGCAATCATTTATAAATAATACAATATATTTAATTTATTAGTAATATTAATGTTTGTAATATAAATATTGTGATACATAATTTTTATTGTGTAATATATATTTATTACAATTTATTATAATATTATTGTTATTAATAATAATATAATATAATATTATTATTATTAATAATATATAATATAATATTATTATTATTATTATTAATATATAATATAATATTATTATTATGATATATAATTTGTATTATGTAATATATATTTATTACAATTTATTATAATATTATTAACATTTTTTATTATTATTATTAATAATAATATAATATCATAATAATAATAATAATAATAATCGAAATACAAGTAAACAAAGACGGAGCAACAAATGATCGGTATCGTCAACTCGCGTAGTTGCGAATGAGCATTGGCAGCGCGAAAAGATGGCCGGTCGTAAATACACGTCCCGCAACACGCCGATGATATATGCGGAACGTGCGTTGTCGACAGACCGTAATATAGCAAAATCGTCTAGCTATGCATTAAGAATAATCGAAGAATAAATATACTTTGACATCATGTCGCGGCTATAGTCCGAAACGAAAGCGCGACACACATGAATCGAAACCATTTATCGGATCGGAATTGTAATCGAAGCGCCGGTTGCACGCGCACGGCAACACATTGTATTCGGCTATTCGACAATGTCAAGACACGTTCCGACGGTATTTATAGATCGCCTGCGAATATTTTAAGACCGCGAGTCACTGATATAATCCGCGAACCGACCGATTTCGATATCAGCCGTGAACGTCTGAAGTGGACAAGCGTGTAATAAAAGCGATGAAAGCGCTATTTGATACTAAAAATATTCACAGGAAGAACCTTCCGTTCGGTTAATCGAGTTTCCATCGGGAACCGCTCGGCTCGTACTTCGTCGTGTCGTTCGCATGTTATTAATAGCGCGCTCGGATACAGCGATACGTTAAATGAAGTAAACTAATAAACCCCTTTGCTTGCGATAAGTTTATTTATTGCGGGGCCCCGTTTAATTAAGTTATCGATGAATTAACGATATCGCGCGCGCGATTGATCGTGAAGGTTAAATTATGTTATGCGTGATATTTGAATTAAATTTAATCACATTAATTAATTAAGTTATGGAAAATAACTTAATTTGGTTTAATTAATTAAGTTTTTGGAGGATAATTAGATTCGATCAAATTAATCAATGGAACATATTTAAATTAAATTTAATTCAATTCATTAAGTTTTCGGCGATAATTGGATTAAATCGAATTAATTAATTGACGATGTTATGCAAGATAATTTAATGTAATTTGATACATTACGATTTGGAAGATAAGTCAATTTAATCAAATTAATTGATCGATGAAGTTATGGAAGATTATTCAATTTAATCAAATTAATTAATCAATGAAGTTATGAAAGATAATTCAATTTAATTCAATTTAATCCATTAAGTTTTGGAAGACGACAGTTAAATTAAATCAAATTAATGTATTAACGTAGTTATGGAAGATATTTAAATTTAATTTCATTTAACAAATTAAGTTTTTAGTGATAATTAAATCAAAACAAATTAATTAATTAACCCAATTATGGAAGATATTTAAATTAAATTGAATTGAATTCTTTAAGTTTTGGAGTTATGGGAGTTCTTGAAGTTATGGAAGACAATTAAATCAAATTTAATTTGATCCATTAAGTTTTGAACGACAATTAAATTAAATCAAATCAGATCAATTTATTAATGAAGTTATGGAAGACAATTAAATCAAATTTAATTTGATCCATTAAGTTTTGAACGACAATTAAATTAAATCAAATCAGATCAATTTATTAATGAAGTTATGGAAGACAATTAAATCAAATTTAATTTGATCCATTAAGTTTTGACCGACAATTAAATTAAATCAATTGAATTAACTAAGTTAAATTTAATTAACTAATCGTGTTAATTGAATTAACCTTTATAAATCAACGATGCAACTAATTACGATATATAGTTGAATCATTGCTAAACCAGATTTCTCGTTTGTATTACAGAAAACGCAATGATGTGCCGATACCATCCGATCGATACCGGATTCAAATGAGAGGCAATGTCGTCCAATTGACCTTGAAACAATCCCAGAAAGAAGATACCGGCCACTACGCTTTAGTGGCGACGAGGGTCGGCCAAGGGTTGGACAAGGGGTCCTCGAAGAAGATTCACCTGAGCATCGAGGACTCGATCACCGAGGAAGGCGATCCGCCGATCTTCCTCCGCAGATTAACCGATCTAGCGGTCAAGGTCGGCACGAGGACCAGGTTTCTCGTAGAGATTCGAAGTTCAACCACGCCGAAGGTAACCGACACAGTTGCAAAACGTGCATCGAAACATTTCCAACGAAACAATTCGGATCGATCGAAGTAACGCAATTAGATCGTTCGCGTAATTAGATCGACTAACGTTGCTGAAGCAATTTCACTGTGAAATTCCATTGCGATTCCAACGTGGCTTTTTAACACGTTCGTGATATTTTTAAAGTAACACGATAAGGCGTCGTTTGCATTAACAAATAATAACGACTGGTGATGCTTCATTTTTTTCTTAGGCGTGGATCACAAATTAATTAATAACGTTGCAATAACGACGATTATTGCTTCATTTTTTTCTTAGGTGTGGATCACAAATTAATTAATAACGTTGTAATAATGACGGCTGCTGCTTCATTTTTTTCTTAGGCGTGGATCACAAATTAATTAATAACGTTGCAATAACGACGATTATTGCTTCATTTTTTTCTTAGGCGTGGATCACAAATTAATTAATAACGTTGCAATAACGACGATTATTGCTTCATTTTTTTCTTAGGCGTGGATCACAAATAAATTAATAACGTGGTAATAACGATGATTATTGCACGACGATGTATCAATAACGACGTCGATTACTTACAAACGTTAATCTTCAAGGTATAGTTATTTGAAAGCTGCGATAAAAATACCAGAGTATTTTATTTGATTTTTAACCCTTTGCGTTTGAAGCTACTTTAATTGCAAATCTAAAATAATTTTTCTGACTTATAGTATCTTCATTTTATATGACAAAGTGCATTTTATGCATGCGAAATTGAACCTTGCGACTCACATAACGGTTACACTTTTAACAATTTATTCAAATCTAAACTTTGTTAACGTAAAAATTATCTTGGAACGTGATATAATAAATTTTAGCGGTGCAAAGAGTTAATCTTACAGGCTTTGGAATGGCAAGAAATAAATGGATTGACAAAATTTGAAAAATGGATAATTTTGTTTAAAAGGAAAAAGTGCTAAGAACAACGACGTATTTTCCGCTTATTAAAATGAATGATTTCGGAAACGACAAAATTGTCTTCCTTGATTCTTCTATCTCGCGGTTGACGCGAACAATTTTTCCACGGAATAAATCTGTCCGCGTATTAATTTCGAAAGATGAGAGAGATTCGATTAAAATACTCGAGTTCGACTGCCTCTCGAAAGTTCTCGCTGAGCTCTAGAACCGAATTGAGATGAGCAGCGCCGCTATCGCCGGCAATTATCGCGGCCGAATAGAGAAAAACAGTAAATTCTCCCTAATTGACGTGCTAATTAATAGTACACAATACTAATATAATAATAGTACATAATAGTATAATATATATAAATATAATTTATACAATATATAATATATAATATACAATATATACAATAAATATAATAGTATACAATACTAATTAATAGTACACAAAAATAAACAATTTATATTATTCGTTCTATTATTCGAGCCTCGCGACTCGTTTTAGTAGTCACCGATCGTCAAATTTATTATTTACATATTCATCGTATTCTAAAACATTATTTCAATAATAAATAATAATAGCCGCGAGAGAGAGAGAGAGAGAGAGAGAGAGAGAGACTCGAACAGAGTCGCATATCTTCTCTCCCCCAAAACGTCCATTTTTGTGCGCGATTCGGAGCGTCAATTAGCATGAATTTACTATGATAGAACAGTGCCTCGTACGTTCTAGAATTGATTAGGCCTGTGCACGGGGCAACGAGGAATCCGATCCGTGCCAAATCCGGTGATTAACCCGGAAGGGTGGCCGAGGCGAAATCAGTCGGTGACTTATTGCGACGGGTTTCTGTTGGTTATGTCTGCTCGGTGGCGCGCGGGGGAGCGGCGGCGCCGGCGACGCGGGCTAAGCAGTCCGGCGAACCTGGGATACGTGTACGCGCGCGTGTACATAGGCCGAACTAAAAGGGACCCCGCGAGGTCCATGACCCGAGCGAGAGAGAGAAAGAGAGAGAGAGAGAGAGAGAGAGCTTGCGGCAGGAGACGCGAACGAGAAAACGAAGATCGTTACTCGCGATCTTACGCGTCGCCTCGTATTACGACTATTATTACTCGGCCGCTTACGCTGTGCCGCGGAGAGCAACTATGCCCGCCGATCGGCTAAATCTGCGTGGTCCCGCTCGTAAACCTCCAAATGGTCGCTTTTCCGCGGCGTAATGCTCGCCGGCGACCGGGTTGCGTAACGCTCTCCCAGAGGGAACCTTTGAATATACAAATGTGTGTGTGTGTGTGTATAGACGCCGCGCCGCGTCGCTCTCTCCGTACGTTAGTGGTACGGGTCGAGAAATTCGGTGACATTTTGTGAAAAATTTCCACTTTCGATATCTATCGAACTCTTGTCACCGTCTACGTGTCCAGTAACCTCAAAAACGAAGGATCCGATAAAATACAAGAAGAAATAAATTTAAAGAAAAGAAGAAAACAAAGAAGGAAACGAATAGAAATTTTAATTACAGTATTTTCAGGTGTGAAAACTGTCGTCCATCTTTGAATTATTATTTGATGTACGTATCTGATCATCTTTTTTAACGCGAAGAGCAGTCTTCTGCGACGAGTAATCGCGTCTTTTATTAACAAACGATAAGGATAATTTGTTGGAAAATTACGTCGAATGCGGTTAGAAAAATATAACCTAATAGGTTCGCTTAATTTTTGTGTGACACGACAACGCGTTTCACGTAACATTTACGTTAATATTACGTATTACGAATAATAGAAAAATTTGAAAGTTTTGTTGACAAAAGTGCCAAAAATGGCGGCACCGTTGGAGCAATTTATCGATATATTGTGTCATATGTTAACGTTGCATCAACAATATACAGGGTGCGCCAAAAATGTCTTGCAATCCGAAAGTGGCGGGTTCCTCGGGTCATTTAAAGCAACTTCTTCCTTCACAAAAATTTTCTCCGGGGCGCCGTTAACGAGTTATTAACGAAAAACAGTGACCAATGAGAGGCGAGCTCGGCTGGCGTGAGGCGACCGAGCTAGTGAGCGGAACTGGGTCGCCTGGGCTGGGCCGCCTCGCGTCGGCCGTACTCGATTCTTATTGGTCACTGTTTTTCGTTAATAACTCGCTAACGGTGCCTCGGAGAAATTTTTTGTAAAGGAAGAAGTTGCTTCAAATGATCCGAGGGATCCGCCATTTCCAGATTGCGAGACATTTTTGGGACACCCTGTATTATAACGAATGGTTTAAACGATTCGAGATCATAACAAATGTTTACGCCATTTTTGTTTCTCGTCGTTATTGCACAAAATGTTTATTTCACACGCACGGTCTAACGACCGAGCGTACCGATACAATTACGTGCACAGCAATAATTATAGTAATTCGCGACCGCTGTTTACATTTACCTATGAGTAACGATGAATAAACGCTATTTATAGGTCGCCGTGATTTTTATAGGCTACCGATGCACGAGGTTTCTTCGCGAGATGTCCTCACGCATCGACGTCAGCGCCGATTTTCCGCCGAAAATTCGCTGTTTGACAAGCGACGGTGACGTCGCGTAGGTGGGCGCTCGGTGATTTAAGCGATTCAAATGCGTTGTCGTTGTTGTTGGATTCCAGATCACTTGGCACCGAAATGCCGAAGCGGTGCACGCGGGTGCGAGATTCTCTTTCGTCCACGAGGGGAACTTCTACTGTGTGGATGTGGCACCGGTCACGGTCGAGGACGAAGGATTCTGGTCCTGTATGGCGGAGAACCGAGACGGGAGGTCCTCTTGCACGTCGAAGTTGACGGTGATCGGTGAGCATTTATGCAATCGTAACCTCCGTAATAACGCGGTACGTTTGGCAACGCTGTCTCCAACGGCAACGCTGTCTCTATCAGCAACGCTGTCTCCATATGCAATGCTGTTTCGATTGACAACACCGCTTCGATCGACAACACTGTCTCGATCGGCAACACTGTCTTGATAGACAACGCTGTCTCGATCGGCAACGCTGTCTTGATCGGCAACACTGTCTTGCTAGGCAACACTGTCTTAATCGGCAACGCTGTCTTAATCGGCAACGCTGTTTCGATCGGCAACGCTGCCTTGATCGGCAACGCTGTCTTGATAGGCAACACTGTCTTAATCGGTAACGCTGTTTCGATCGGCAACGCTGCCTTGATCGGCAACACTGTTTCGATCTGCAACACCGTTTCGATTGGCAACACGGCGCGAAAATTTCAACAGTACTTTTACAACACGATTTCTTTCTGGTAAAGCTCGCATCGACCTTTTTTACAGGACATACTCAATTCGTTAATGACAATAGCAATAATACAAACATATTTGCAACCAATGTCACAAAATTTAAAACGAGTTTACATAAACTATTCACCTGAAACAGTTATTCGCTTATGTTAATGATAATAACGCCGCATGATATAATAATTGCCGATAATAATGTTACTTTTTTGTTGTTGTTCTTTTCGTTAATGTAAAAATAGGCTCTCACCCGTTCGTATAAATAAATAAATATTAGCAGTAAGAATATTTCCATCGCGTCGCGATAATTGTTAAAGCGTACGACGACGAGTCCTTAGCATTTCTCAAATGTCGACCTTTCTATATCGACGAAAATACATCGAACGAATTTTGTTGAATATCCATCGTTTCGAAATTTCTCTTAACGCGCGACAGAACGCTCTCGGAGAACACCGTTGTCGATATAAAGCGGAACGCATTCCCTCGATTTATGTCGCTTCTAGGCCTCTTTCGACACGACGTTCGATCTAACACGACGCTCCGAGAACACGGTTTCGTCACAACACGGAACGAATATATATGTATACCTTCGTTATAGAAGGGTCGAACATCGTCGATTCCAGGGTTTTCGTCACTGTTTTTAATACGTTCAGTGCCGCGTGAGTCACGCATGGGTGACACTAATTTTTAACTAGGTTTCTGAAATTAATTTTTACTGTAATATATTGAACAAAACGAATGTTACTAGGATTTGTAAAATGCAAAACAGCTGGACCAATATTTCGTATGGTAAATTTTCACTTTCTAGTTTCAGTGTCGTTAATTAAATTACTTTGATATGGCGTGAATTTTTCCGAGTTAATATTCGCCGCTTAATGTTTTTAATACGTTCAGTGCCGCGTGAATCACGCATGGGTGACACTAATTTTTACCTAGGTTTCTGAAATTAATTTTTACTATAATATATTGAACAAATCGAATGTTACTAGGATTTGTAAAATGCAAAACAGCTGGACCAATATTTCGTATGGTAAATTTTCACTTTCTAGTTTCAGTGTCGTTAATTAAATTACTTTGATATGGCGTGAATTTTTCCGAGTTAATATTCGCCGCTTAATGTTTTTAATACGTTCAGTGCCGCGTGAATCACGCATGGGTGACACTAATTTTTACCTAGGTTTCTGAAATTAATTTTTACTATAATATATTGAACAAATCGAATGTTACTAGGATTTGTAAAATGCAAAACCGTTGAACCAATATTTCCTACGGTAAATTTTCACTTTCTAGTTTCAGCGTCGTTAATTAAATTACTTTGATATGGCGTGAATTTTTCAGAGTTAATATTCGCCGCTTAATTTGTCAAATAACACAAAATCTGCAGGTCTCTTTTAACGGTTTATAAAAAATATTACTTGAAAACGAAATGGGCTTCCGACGAAGCATTTATTAACACTTCTAGCGTGTCTTCTGTAAAAAAAAATTAGTGGTCAGCGAGAGAATCGAGCGCAGATGCAATTTCAAAGAACAGAAAGATTATTTCGAGTCGTTACGTACGCGTTCGGAAGAGGACTCGCACAAATTCCAAGCAAATCGGAGCAATGGACCACAATTTCCTATAGACGAAAATAGAAACGCGCCAACGTGGATGGTGTTTGAAGCATGAGTTTCGAGATATACATACCGGATTACCGTAATTTGGAGTGCGAAATTACGACGAAACTTTCGAAGAAACCAAATTCATAGACCAACGTAGGCTAAACAAATATTATTTACCGCAATTATTCGCGCGAAAAACTCCAATTCCCGCGCTTATAAAAATTTTTACAGTACAAATTACAAATACAACAAATTCAACAAATATTTTTATTATATAGAAGTGTTTAAATAAATCGACGTGTTCGAGTAATTTACGTTTATATCATCCCATTGATAAATAAAGTTATTATTATTATTATTATTATTATTATTGTTATTATTATTGCTATTGTTGTTGTTATTATTATTATTTATTATTGTTATATTGATTTAGTAGCTAACGCTAAAGCTTGGTCCTATTTTGTCAAGATTATTTTATTATTATTATTATTATTATTATTATTATTATTATTATTATTATTATTATTATTATTATTATTATTGTTACATTTGCTTAGTACGTAACGCTAAAGCTTGCTATTATTTTGTCAACGTGATGTTAAAGCCACTTTAAGTTTAAAAATTCTTGTTATATTCAATACTGGAAAGGTGATGCGTACAGATACATTATTATTATAGTTCGGTTAAGTGAAATCATTTGTAGGTAATATTCATTATTTATTATTTACAGTCCCGAAAGCTTACAAGCGGCCAGAATTCGTCGAAGAACTGCGTGCTCTGCTGACAGAGGCCGGCACGGTGTCCCTAGAGTGCAAAGTTGTCGGAGTTCCTACACCCGTGCTCCGTTGGTTCAAAGATGACAAAGAAATCAAAGCCGGCGACGTCTTTGCCTTAACCGCCAACCCTGACGACTCAACCTCCCTCGGCATTTACACCTGCGAAGCTGTCAACTGCATGGGAACCGCGTATTCCTCCTCGAAAGTGAGCAGATGATTTCAACCATCATTGAAAATCATTCGTTCCTCAAGGTTTCACACCCTGAGGACTCTTTCACGGGAAATTGTTGAATCAATTACTTAATTGAAACTTACATGATAATAGAAATCTATCCCAACTATACGTCTTAACGGATTTTATTTCATATTTAATATTTTATGTAGAAACTTCATTTCATATTTCATGTTTTATAAGGAAGTTATATTTTATATTGAAATTTTTTTTTTATTTCATATTTCATGCTTTATATTGAAATTTTATTTCATATTTCATGTTTTATATTGAAGTTATATTTTATGTTTTATATTTTGAAATTTTATTTCGTATTTCTTATTTACGAAATTACCATTACTCGCGTGTGTGGAATGTTGCGTTACTATTTTTGTGTTATTTAAAATTACAAACAGTATTAATGAAAATTTTTCTCTAATTGACAATCAGATTGTGCTCAAGATGGGCAATTTGGGAAGAGAGAATGTTTATAGTAACCGATTGTCAAGGTTATTTATTTAATTATGAAATTCATTATTTATATATTTATTATATTATAAAGTATTATTTTAATTATAAACACGAGTCGCAGGACTCGAATAATCGTATCTTCTCTTCCGTCAATTAGGAAGAATTTATTGCATTTACAAAAATATTGAACGAATCAAAACATTTAAAATATCATACGAATTTTTGTAATTGAATAAAACACAAGTTTTAGAGGACATCAAATGATTCATCGAAAAATGATTTGGACGATATTGCAGGTACACGTAGTTGGGAAAGGTAGCAGAGAAGGTTCTCTGAAGCCAGCGGATTCCTTGACGCTCTCCAGTCCACTTCCTGTATTCAAGCAGATCCTGCAGGACGAATGTTGCAGAATCGGGGAAACTCTGCGTCTTTCTTGTCAAGGTATTGTAATATATAAATATATTGAAATTTTATTTCATATTTCATGTTTTATATGAAAATTTTATCATATTTTATATGAAAATTTTATTTCATATTTCATGTTTTATATGAAAATTTTATTTCATATTTCATGTTTTATATGAAAATTTTATGTCATATTTTATATTGAAATTTTATTTCATATTTTATATTCAAATTTTATTTCATATTTCATGTTTTATATGAAAATTTTGTTATATTTTATATTGAAATTTTATTTCATATTTCTTATTTACAAACTTACAAATACTCGCATGGAAAGTTGCGTTACAATAGAACATTTACGCGACGCCGGAAAAAATATCAGTGAATTTTTCGAATTGTAATACTTTTTTGCTTTCGACGATATGACATCTCTGAAAACGATAAGTACAAGTTCGGTTGCTACTGCGACAGTGGAAGTACCGCCATGGCCAAAAGCGATAACATGGTACAACAAGGAAGGACGTATCGAGCCCAGCGACAAGTACCACGTGATGGAAGACGGCCTCGGCGGATATTGCGTAGAAGTATATCCGGTAGAAGCCATGGACGAGGGCGAATGGAAATGTGTCGCAACGAACGCGGAAGATATGAAACAATTTACTACTTGCTATGTCGCAATGTCCAGTAAGCTTCGCACGAAATACTTGACTTTTTTCTTTTTTTCTACGCGAGAAATATTAACCAGTTAGCTGTGGCGCCTCCTTTTCAGAGCGCAGACCTATACAGGGTGTTCCAAAAATCGCAATCCGGAAATAAGGGGTTCCTGAGGTCATACATAATATATAATAATAATATTAATATAATATATTAATATATTATACTATAATATAATATATCAATATATATTATATTATATTATATTATATTATATTATATTACATTATATTAATATTATTATTATATATTATAAATATATAATAATATAAAACTTTATTATAAAATAACGCGAGAATCAAGCGACAACGACTATACTCGTCGCGACTCAAAATACTTCTCCGTGACGAGTATACTCGTCGAACACAGCTAACTGGTTAAAGAAACGACGTCGATAACAATGCATTATTTTAGAATATGACGGGATTAATATAGACGCTTCATTCTTTGAAACGCTTTTGTCTAGTTCCAAAGAACTATAGGAAACCTCGCTTCATGGAAAGCCTGAAAGCTGTCCTCACGGAAGAGGGATTGGTGTCCTTCGAGTGCAAGGTCGTCGGTTTCCCGACGCCATTGCTCAGGTGGTTCAAAGATGGCCAGGAATTGAAACCGGGAGATGTTTATCAACTGACTGGAACCAACTCATTGGGTAATTAATCGGCGCCCTCTCGAATCATTTCGCGTTAATAACCAGCACAAGTTGGGAAAACTAAACATCAAAGTTTACACGACTTCAATTTTAAACAGTAAATTTATTTATATAAAGACAGGTAGGATAAAAACTCCAATGTAGTTTCGCATAATCGTTACTTTATTTTACGATTAATAGATTACACGTACTTTTGTTAATTTTTTAGGAAAAATTAGTATAGTTCACCTACGGAGTAGATTTTATTCTGTTTCATGGTTTCAACTGTTTTGGAATATTTTATATTTTATATTGAAATTTTATTTCGTATTTAATATTTTACATTGAAATTTTATTTCATATCTAATATTTTACATTGAAATTTTATTTTGTATCTAATATTTTACATTGAAATTTTATTTCACATTTAATATTTTGCACTGAAATTTTATTTCACATTTCATGTTTTATACTGAAATTTTATTTCATTTGTTTAACGATCGTTCGTCTGCCAAGGTTCCTACTGCTGCATTGCGAGAAACTGTATGGGAGAGGCAAAGAGTACAGCCGAATTAACGATCGAAGATATTCAGAATCAATTGAACGAAGAAGAACGTCTGCAGCTTCTGAGCACGAATCAGCCGCCCACGTTCGTCAAGGGCCTCAGAAGCTGCGAGGCAAGAATCAACGAAGATTTCCGATTCACTATCCAAGGTATCCATCGATGCTCGTCAAAACGCATCTCCAGAATCGCTAACGATATTAACAATAATACAATAACGAATCATCGAACGAGTAACGAATAAATAAACAATTAACGAAAAATCGATCGACAAGGAGCAACGTTTCTAAATGTTCGAATAATTTCTATTCTATTAAAATTTGATAAGAAGAAAAAAATACAATAATTTCAATAAAAAATGAAAACGATGCAAAGAGGTTCTTAAACTTATTTCTGCGTCAGAGTTTTAACATTTTCTTTCGAACAACGCGACGCTTGCTCCGCGTCGGTGTAATATTTCGAACAACGGATCTTATGCAAAGAATTAAATTTACAGCCAGTGTTGCGCCCGAGCCAAGCCTCTCTTGGTACAGGGACGACGTTCTGGTGGAAGAAAGCGAAAAATACCACGCTGCCAAGGAGAATCTTGGCACGTGCCACCTCGATGTACGAAGGCTCGAATTCGTGGATCAAGTAAGTTTTTCCGCTCTCGTGAACAATTCAACGAACCATTCGCGCGAGCTTAAAAAATATTTCAATCGCTGCTGCTCGAATATTTTCTCCACGAATTTCGAACACAAATTTTCATTACTGAACAAACATTACAAAGCACACGATTATATATTACATTAATAATTATATATTATATATATAAATCAATATATATATATATATATATATATATTATTATACATATAATAATTTATATGTAATTATACAGGGTGTCCCAAAAATGTCTCGCAGTCCGGAAATGGCGAGTTCCTCGGATCATTTGAAGTAGCTTCTTTCTTTACAAAAATTTTCTCCGAGGCACCGTTAACGAGTTATTAACGAAAAACAGTGGCCAATAAGAATCGAGTACGGCTGACGTGAGGCGGCCCAGTCAACCAGCGCACGAAGCCCAGTTCCGCTCATTGGCTCGGTCGCCTCGCGACAGCCGAGCTCGCCTCTCATTGGTCACTGTTTTTCGTTAATAACTCGTTAACGGTGCCTCGGAGAAAATTTTTGTAAAGGAAAAAGTTGCTTCAAATGACCTGGGGAACCCGCCACTTTCGAATTGCGAGGCATTTTTGGGACACCCTGTATAATAATATATAATAATTTATATGTAATTATATATAATAATATATACATAATTGTATGAATAGCAAAAGCGTAACTCCAAGCAAAATTTACATAAAAATTTCTCTGAAAGAATTTTGTCTCGGCTGTGAAATCTTTGCAACAAATTTACGCTCGAGCAAAACGACGTGGAATTTCGTTGAATCGCGCGAGACGCGAATTATTTATAAGATTGTGCGATATACGTAGATGTCGGTGACGATTTAGAACCTGAATGAAAATGATTAATCGCCGGCATTTCCCAATATCCAGGCAGAGTGGAAGTGCGTGGCTTCCAATGATTTCGGCCATAGTGTCACATCCTGTTTCCTCAAACTAATCATTCCCAAGCACTTCAAGAAACCGAAGTTCCTTGAAAGTTTGCGCGCCATATTGTCGGATGAGGGCGCGGTGAATTTAGAGTGCAAAGTGATCGGTGTGCCGCAACCGATCCTGAAATGGTACAAAGATGGCGTCGAGCTTAAGCCGGGAGACATACACAGAATCATTTCCGGGCAAGACGGGACATGCTGCTTAGGAACGTACACGTGCGAGGCCAGCAACTGCATGGGCTCCGTCAGCAGTTCCGCGTCGCTTTTAGGTTTTGAAGGTATTTCGAACAATTATTCGACAAATAGATCAACTAATTACGTGCTTGCATTCTGTTGAAATCGATGCGAAATTTTTCAATGATTTTACGAAAATCAACAAATAAATTATTTACTTGTATATTATACTGCGAACAGTATAATTGACTTAAGATACACCGAAGTCAACGAGAAAGTGTCCCATAATTATGTTAACAGCCGGGAGGGGGTGATNAGTACGGCTGACGTGAGGCGGCCCAGTCAACCAGCGCACGAAGCCCAGTTCCGCTCATTGGCTCGGTCGCCTCGCGACAGCCGAGCTCGCCTCTCATTGGTCACTGTTTTTCGTTAATAACTCGTTAACGGTGCCTCGGAGAAAATTTTTGTAAAGGAAAAAGTTGCTTCAAATGACCTGGGGAACCCGCCACTTTCGAATTGCGAGGCATTTTTGGGACACCCTGTATAATAATATATAATAATTTATATGTAATTATATATAATAATATATACATAATTGTATGAATAGCAAAAGCGTAACTCCAAGCAAAATTTACATAAAAATTTCTCTGAAAGAATTTTGTCTCGGCTGTGAAATCTTTGCAACAAATTTACGCTCGAGCAAAACGACGTGGAATTTCGTTGAATCGCGCGAGACGCGAATTATTTATAAGATTGTGCGATATACGTAGATGTCGGTGACGATTTAGAACCTGAATGAAAATGATTAATCGCCGGCATTTCCCAATATCCAGGCAGAGTGGAAGTGCGTGGCTTCCAATGATTTCGGCCATAGTGTCACATCCTGTTTCCTCAAACTAATCATTCCCAAGCACTTCAAGAAACCGAAGTTCCTTGAAAGTTTGCGCGCCATATTGTCGGATGAGGGCGCGGTGAATTTAGAGTGCAAAGTGATCGGTGTGCCGCAACCGATCCTGAAATGGTACAAAGATGGCGTCGAGCTTAAGCCGGGAGACATACACAGAATCATTTCCGGGCAAGACGGGACATGCTGCTTAGGAACGTACACGTGCGAGGCCAGCAACTGCATGGGCTCCGTCAGCAGTTCCGCGTCGCTTTTAGGTTTTGAAGGTATTTCGAACAATTATTCGACAAATAGATCAACTAATTACGTGCTTGCATTCTGTTGAAATCGATGCGAAATTTTTCAATGATTTTACGAAAATCAACAAATAAATTATTTACTTGTATATTATACTGCGAACAGTATAATTGACTTAAGATACACCGAAGTCAACGAGAAAGTGTCCCATAATTATGTTAACAGCCGGGAGGGGGTGATTCCTGAGGTCATTTGGAGTAACTTTTTCCTTTACAAAAATTTTCTCCAAGGCGTCATTGACGAGTTATTAACGAAAAACAGTCGACCAATGAGAGGCGAGCTCGGTTCCACTGATTGGCTCGCCTAGCGCGACGCGGCCGAGCCAACGAGCGCTCGAAGCCCAGTTCCGCTGATTGGTTCGGCCGCGTCGCGGTCACCGAGCTCGCCTCTCATTGGTCGACTGTTATTCGTTAATAACTCGTCAACGACGCGTCGGAGGAAATTTTTGTAAAGGAAAAAGTTGCTTCAAATGACCTCGGAAATCGCCTCCTTCCAGGTGTAACAACTATGACACAATTTTGGGTCACCCTGTACACTTATAGCATATAATACCCAATTATTAACAATTTAAATGTGGTTAACAACTTATGTGTTTCATCTTTTTCTGTCAATCGACGTCGAAACTGAATAAAAGTAGCTTATAATTTCAGTCATTTCTGTATAACCTCGATATAACCTCGAGCTTTGCTTCGCAGATAAATTACCGGCACAAAAAGAAGCGAAAGAGGCTCAGTCGCCGAACGGCCACGAGCTTGCCAGAAACCTGTCGCTGTCGACGATACACGAAGAAAGAACCTCTCAACTATACGATACGCCGCAAACCGATCACTCGGTGACGCTGGACGATCGCGGGGAAGTATCCTTCAGCTTCGACGGGAAAGAAGTTTCCGTCAGCCTCTACGAGACACCGGATCTGACCGAAGAAGAAGCCCTTCAGATCGTCGAGATGTACGCCGATCAATTGTCTGAACATGTTACAGGTAAATGCGAGGAAACTTTTCATAGAGAAATCTCTTTTATCTGGCAATCTTTTAACCTCTTAATCATTGTACCTTCAGAACACAACGTGATCGAGCTGCCGCCGATGAGGTTCGTGAAGGAGTCCTCGACCTCCGGCAACCTGTTGATGGAGGCGGTGGTGATCGACGTGTCGCCGGACTACTTCGTGAGCGCGGAGGACGGCGACGACCTGCGCACGGAGGCCGACTTCGAGGACGTCTCGATCCTGGACGACATAACGCGAGTACTGTCGTCGCCGGAGCGGGATTCGCGCAGCTCCCTGAAGAGATCCGCGCGGTACAGCCTGGAGGACGACGAGAAGCCGCCGAAGAGGCCGCCGAGGAAGAAGTCCAGCTCCTCCTCGAAGAGCGAGAAGAGCGAGAAGAGTCCGCGGATAGAGTCGGAGAGCTTCCACAGCGCCCAGAGGGAGGATAGATCGTCCCCGGTGTCGCCGATCTCGCCGGTGTCCTCCCTACGGCAGGACGACAGCGACACGTTCGCGGACGCGTTGTCGTCGGCCCGGTTGTCCATCTCGGAGACGCAGGCGCAGAAGATGTACGAGTACGCGGCGGACCGGAAACGTAGCCTGAGCGGCGACAAGACGGCCGGGTCGAGCATAGACGACGGCATAGGCGGGGACTCGTCGTTCGACTCGGTGACCGGGGCGCCGAAGAGGAAGCGTCACCGCAAGAAGAAGCACAAGAGGGAGAAGGGTAGCTCGGAGGAGTCGTCGCTGGGCAGCGAGCTGGACGGGAAGCAGCGGAGGCGAAGCGGATCCGGCAGCGAGAAGACGGAGCTGCAGCAGCGAGTGGAGTCGATCCTGAAGACGGAGGAGCCGTACATCGAGGACGTGGCGGACAAGTCGTCGGAGAAGAAGCAGTCGACCAGCGAGTCGGACAAGTCGATGTCGCGGAGCAACAAGGAGAGACTGTTGGACAATATGAAGAAGCTGAAGGAGCCGGTCCTGGTGGTCAGGGACACCCTGGTGGACATCGACGCGTTGGACGCGCGGCTGAACACCGCGGACGAGGACACCTGCAAGCAGGTTGTGGCCGAGCGCGTGATCCGGCCGATTCAGAGCCTGTGCGAGGAGGTGTCCGGCATCGAGACGAAAGCGCTGAAGAGCGCGGGAGACAGGTCCATGGCGCAGACGATCAGGATCTCTCTGTTGGAAGCGATCGGCGGGCCGACCGAGGAGCTGCTGCGCGGAATGGAGCTGATAGAGCGGCAGGAGAACGTGAAGAACAGGAAGACGGACGTGGTGGCGATCCTGGAGAGCCTGACTGACCCCGTCGACGAGATCCTGATGGGCATCACGAAGATCGAGTACGAGATGACCGGCGGGGCGAAGGGCGAGAAGCCGATCGCGTTGATCAGAATGACCTCGGCGGTGTCCAGGCTAGATGAGACCGTGAAGCGTGTCGCCGCGTTGGACAGCGGCGAGTCCAGGCTAACGTCGAGCATCGAGGAGATCCTGAACGTGCTGCAGTTCTTCGTGAACGACGTCCCGGTGGATCCGGCCAAGGGCTCGATAGAGACTGTGGACACCGTGGTGGTGGAGTCCCTGTCGAAGTCGATAGACGACGTCACAAGGGTTCTGAGTCGCGCGACCAAGGCCGAGGGAGTCTCTAAAATCGTGGACGAGTTTCTGCCGCCGGTGCGCGAGCTGAGGGCGAGACTGGACACCTTGAAGTCGGCGCTAGAGACCTACGAGTCGCGGGGGATCCTGTCGGAGCACCGGACGAAGCTGATCGAGTCGCTGCGGGATTCGGTGGACCAGACCGTCGAGGAGATCAACAGGGTGAAGGAGAGGAAGCCGGAGGCCGCCGAGGAGCCGAGACAGGACGTCTTGAAGGAGGCGAGGTTAACCCTGCAGGAGGCCCTGAAGTCGTACGAGAACGTCGCGGGCAGCCTGGATCCTAGACTGTCCGCCATCTTCGATCGGGTCGACGAGATCCACCGGCGTCTTCAGACGCCGCAGAAGAAGGAGACCAACCTGGAGACCTTGACCAGTTTAGAGGGTCCTCTGTACTCGCTCCAGTGCGCTCTGACCTCGGTTTCGATCGCGGAACACGCGGACGCCGTCTTTAAGCTCCTGGAGCCGTCGGTGTCTCAGCTGAAGGCCGCGATCCAGCGTCTGAACGACGGCTCGTTGCAGCCGGTGATGGAGACCTTGAACGACATCGGCAGAACGATCCAGGTAGCCGGCAGCGAGGCCGAGGAGACGATCTCCTCCAGGTCCGTTCCGGACGAGCCGCAGACCCTGACGGACCGGATCCTCGATCACCTGATCGACGTGCAGTCGGCCTTGAGCGCGGCGCTCCAGGACGCCGAGGACGTCGACTCGGTGGCGAACGGCTCGGCGAGCGCGCAGAAGCTACTGGCCACCTCTGAGATCGCTGCTTGCTTGGTGGAGCTCAGACAGTACGTGTCGGACAGCTCGCGGATCGCGATGACCTTGCGAGAGGACGAGACGCTGAGCAGCTTGGAAGACCTGAAGGAGCCGTTGCAGGACCTCGCGTCGGCTCTGGCGTCCGAGAAGCGGACGGTCCAGGAGCTCCGGGTGATCCGCAAGATACCGCAGTCGACGGAGAAGCTGAAGAGGGTGGTGAAGAAGGTGCTGCGGCACCCCGGGACCGAGGAGAGGACGAAGTCGATGAACGACGTCCTGACGGCGATCGAGGACATCGACGGCCAGCTGCCGAAGACGATAGCGAAGCTGTCGGAGATCGAGGAGGCGCAGAAGCACTTCTTGGACCATCTGGACGTGGACCGGAACCTCAGCAACGTGCACTTCGCTCTGTCCTCGGCGCTCGAGAAGCAGGAGAAGAGCTGCCCCGGCTACGCGTCGGATATGTCGCGCTGCGTCGAAGAGCTGCGGCAGCGCGTCGGCTCCGCGGCGGTGGAGATCGGGAACTCGAAGAACCGCGTCGACGACGACGTTATCCTGCAGCTGCACCTGCTAAAGGAGCCTCTGCTTACTTTGCAGAGGGTGCTGTTGACCCAGCAACACGACCCGGAAGAGGAGGAGATCTTGCGGGGCCTGGTGGATCCCGTGGAGAAGCTGACGAGCCTGGTCCGCAGCGTCATGGACAGCGACGCGAACACCGACTCGGTTCTTCCGGTCCTGGAGCTGCTCGAGGAGCTCGAGAAGGACGCCCCGTTGATCACCAAGGAGGCGACCAAGAGGAAGGAGCAGAAGGGCGCGACGGCTCGGAAAGAGGAGACGACTACGGCGAAGAAGAAGAAGAAGAAAATGGGGTCGATCGGGTTGGCGGACCGGATCAGCAGATCCCTGGACCCCGTGAAGCACTGGCTATCGACCGCGTCCGAGGACAGCGTGAAGGAGGAGGAGGAGTCGGCGCTCTGCTCGACCATCGACGAGCTGAAGAGGGACGTCAATAGAATCGCGATCGAGACGTCGTACTCGGAGCCGCCCAGCGACGAGAACCTGATCGAGGCTCTGATAGAACTGCGGGAGCCGCTCGCCAGGCTGAAGAACGCGATCTCGACGTACCACGAGCCGAGCAACTTGTCCACTTTGGAAGGTCTCGGCAGGCCGATGCGGTATCTTCTGCAGACGATCATGGATGTCCTCCGGGAGCACGCCCACGAGGAGTCGCTGCGGCCGATCGTGGAGATCGTGGAGGACATCGAGAACCAGATCCCGATCTCCATCAAGGAGGCGCTGTACAAGAAGGAGCTCGGTGAGGTGGTCAAGTCGCTGGTCCAAGAAGAGAAGGAACTGACCGCGGCGCAGGAAACGGCGCAGGAGGAGACCCTGCCCCGGGACGGGAGGGAGGAGCTGACGTCCCAAGCGACGATCCCCGAAGGCACCCTGATGGAGACCTCGACCTCGGTGCTGCCGCAGACGGAGCTCACGGAGTCTCTGGTCGAGAAGACGTCGGTGGAAGAGATCAGCTCGCAGAGATCCGACCAAGTGGTCACGCAGATCGAGGAATACCGGAGAGAAGAGCTCGAGAAGAAGAAGAAGGTGAAGAAGAAAGAAGAAGTAGCGGAGCTGATGGCTTCGCTGTCGGCGACCCTGGAGAACGTGCAATTCGACGTGACCGGAATCCTGGAAGATTTCGAGGGGCCCACGACTGGCACCGCGACGCTGCCGCCATCGGCCTTGGCCAGCTCCCTCGAAGACTTCCGGAGGACGGTTTCGACGATGCGCGCGGCGATCGGAAGCCAAGAGCAGCCTGCGTCCACCGAGGAAGCGGCCGCTCGGACCGTGTCCCTTCTGGACCCTCTTTTGCGGTCGCTGGGCAGCCTTGAAGACGCGCTCCTCGAGACTAGGCAATACGGCATCCAGGAGCTGTTCATCTTGACGCACCTGGCGCAGCCTTTGGAAGCGATCGAAAGGAGAGTGATCGACCCTGCGACCAAGTTGGATGGCGGAGCGGAGGTAGCGGAGCGATGCGAGCCGGTCCGGCGAGTGCTGCGCGAGATCAAGGACAGGATCCCGGTAGCGATAAAGGACGTGGAGTCGCGGCAGCAGCTCGTGGGGAGTCTCCGGGAGTTGGCGAAGCCGTTGGAGAACATCCAGGAGCGCATGGAGGTGCTGGAGACGCAGGCCGAGGAGACCTTGGAGGCCGACGTGGCGAGGATCCTGCTGCGGCCGGTCCAGACGCTGTTGAACAGCATCACCGCTGTTCAACAAGAGGTCCATCAGTTGGACCGGCGCAGGGAGGTCGTCGTGGAGCTGCGGAGCCTCGCGGAGCCCCTGGTGGAGTTCTCTAGCTGCCTGTCCGTAGTGCAGAGCAGTCGCAAGAGCCTGGTGCCCGAGGCGGCGCTGCTGGACGAGCGGAGGAACGTCATCCTGAAGGCGGCCGAAGGGCTGCAGCGACAGACCTTGAGCACCCTGGACAGAATACCGAGCCTGGAGGGTGCCTCGATGTTCGAGGAGCCGCTGAACTCGCTGAAGAACGCTATAGTCTCTGTACAAAAGCAGATCGGCAGAACCGACTACTCCAGACGACCGAGCAGCGCGCAGTTCACCCTGCAGTACAACCTGCACGCGTCCTTGGACCGGCTGAAGCAGACGATCTCGGCCTTGGACGAGGCCACGGACGTGAAGGAGGTGGTCTCGAAGTCGCTGGGCGCCTTGCAGAAGCAGATATCCCTGTCGAAGACGCAGTTCATCGAGACCAGCGAGCAGTCGGTCGACGAAGAGGCCATCGTCGAGGGCTTCCTGTACCCGGCGAACAAGCTCCAGTCGGCGTTGAACACGCTCGTCGAGCGGCTCGGCCAGAAGACGATCGCGTCGATCTCCAAGGAGTCGATGAGCCGTCTTCGGGGCCTGGCCAAGTCGACCTCAGACTTTGCTTCCTCGTTGCAGGCCCACCGGCTGCATCTCCTCAGGGAAGGCGCCTCCGAGGGCTCCTCCTTCGTGGAGACGCTGGCCGCCGTCGCGGACGTTTTGGAAGGCGTGAACGAGTCCATCGAGAGGATCCAGCGGATCGTCGGCGTCGAGACGGCGCCGGAGACGGCCGAGGAGCAGGCTCAAGGTGTGCCGAGGGACGCGCCGATCACCATCACGCAGATCGAGACTATAATCGACGAGATCATCGAGGTAACCAAGGAAGAGATCGAGAGCGTGCTGACAGTCGAGAGGCTGCCGCCTGAAGAGGAGGCGAGACGAACAGAGCCAATACTTGAAGCTGGACTCGACGAGGCGAGACGAACAGAGCCAATACTTGAAGCTAGACTCGACGAGGCGAGACTAGACGAAACGGTCGAGAGAACGCTGAAAGTGGAACACGAAGGGAGAGTCGAGGATCGCTCAGATAGCTCGGCGGAGGAGAAGAAGGTCGCGGAGAGGGTATTAAAGGCGGCGGAGGATGCCGGGAGGCGCGAAGATGTGGTAAGAAAAGCCGAAGAAGCGGAAAGCCCGGCGAAGCGAAGGGAAGAGAAATCGGAGGAAGACAGAGAGACGAAGGTACGAAAACTGGTTAAATTGATGTTCACGATCGAGCAACCGTTCGCAGAACTAACTAATCTCATGTGCGTAGCCTTAGAGAAGCCAATAGCTTCGAAATCCGAGGAGGAGAAACGAAAGATACGGGAATTGACCGCGCTCATCCAAATCCTGAACGATTTGAGAGCGACCACCGTGTCGATCGAACGCGATCTCTCACCCCCTTTGATTCCAGAATTAGAAGAACAGTTTCAGCGAGTGTCGGACGGTTTCGCCGGCCTCGAGCGGGCCGCCGAGAAAGTACTGGGCCTGGCCCAGAAGAAGGAGCTGACGCCGGCGCTGAAGGAGAACGTGATGGTGTCGCTGCGGTTCCTGCTGGAGCCGCTTGAGACGCTGCAGCGGGACTTGTCCGGCTTCGAAGCGGCGTCCCCTTTCTCCGCGCAGCTGGGACAGCTGACCGAAACGAGCGGCGAGCTCGCGCGAGCGATTCGCCGGACTACAGAGTCGAGGCGCGTGAAGATCCTCGAGGAGATCGGCGCGAGGCCGCCGTCGAAGGCCGAAGAGGAGAGCCAGGGCATCGAAGACACCACCGCGAAGCCGCTGGAGGAACTCATAGAGGCCATGATGGTGTCCCAGCAGCACATCAAGCGGGACGACGCGTCCCCCTTCGGCTCCATATCGCCGTCGCTGGAGCCCGCGGACCTGTCCGAGCAGCAGAAGTCGATCAGCGACGACGAGATGAAGCTGGACAGCAACCTGGTGGAGAAGATAGTCAGCCCGATCCGGAATCTGCGGGAGCTGCTGGCGAAGATCGAGAAGCAGGAGATGGAGGAGGCCGAGGCGCTGGATCTGCCGAGCAGGCGGACAGCGACCGCCATTCTGAACACCATCATCCACCCTCTGGAGGAGCTGGAGCAGTCGCTGAACGTCTCTGCGGAGCAACAGACCGCGGAGACCCGGCAAAGCGAGCACGAGATGAGGAAGAGCCTGTCGCCGTTGCAGTCGGTGCCGGTCGGCGCCGTCCTGGAGGACCTGAGGAGGTCGATCGCCAGCATCCAGGACGAGGTGATCATGGAGGTGATCGGCAAGATGGCGGAGACCAGGAGCGAGGTCACGGCGGAGGAGGTCGAGAGGTCACTGGAGGACTTGAAGTTCTCCGTGGGCGCTGTTCAGAAGATCGCGACGATGGAGAGCGAGCACTCGGAGGAGTCGTTCGAAGGCGACCGGGCAGCCGTGGTGGAGACCTTCGTCAAGTCGGTGAAGGAACTCGGAGAGAAATGCTTGGCGATCGCTACCCTGCCCGCGACGAGAACGGCGTCAACCGAGAAGCTGCGTGGCGACGAGCTGCGGACGATGGTCCGGATCCTGAAGGAGAGCACGTGCGAGATCGAAACGCGCCAAGAGGTCCAAGACCAAACTGGAAACGACGTGGTGGAAGCGCTGAAGCCGTTGGTGCAGCCGCTGGAGGAACTGGGACTGGCTCTGGCCTCGGCTGTGCAGCAAGTTAGCAACTTCGCTGCCGAGGCCAGCGAAGAAAGGAAGGACGAAGAGGAAGGTCTGCTCGTGGAGACGGTGAAGTTGACGCCGGTCTTGCAACAGTTGCAAAAGTCCATCGCCGTCGTCGGGGAACAAGTCTCTGCCCGGAAAGCCGAAGCGTCGTCGGAGAAAGTTGAAGACTCTGTAGCCGAAGTCATCGAAGCTCCGTTAGAACAGTTGCGATCCGCCGTGGAAGCAGTCCAGAAGCTAGAACTAGAAGAGACAGCGGAACTCTCCGGCGAGCGGAAGGCGACGGCTCTGAAGGCGGTGGCGAGATGCGTGCAGGAAATCGGGAAAGTCTGCTCGACCGCGAGCAGTCGGCAAAGAATCGAGGCGAGGCTTCTCGAACGGCCGCAGGTGGCTGAGATGGAGCAGGTCCTGGAAACCATTGCGAGTCCCATTCAAATTCTGAGAGAGTCTGTGTGCGAACTTGAAGCGCCATCCGCCGAGGAAGCGGAGCGATTCGATCGGCCAGGCAGAGCAGCGGCGGAGGCGTTGAAGCCGTTGGTGCAGCCACTGGAAGAATTGCAACGAGCTCTAATCTCGGCTGTCCAACAGGTTTCCGCGGTTCCGACTTCCCAGATGAAGGACACGGCTGCGGAAAAGACGCAGCTGGCGCCGGTGTTGGAAGAATTGCAGAAGTCCATCGCCGTCGTCGAGCAACAGGTCCTGGCCGAGGCGAAGAGAGCCGAAGTCTCGGCCGTGGAAGGCGAGAGCTCCGTCGCTCGGATCATAGAAGCTCCCTTACAAGAGCTGAAGTCCTCGGTGGAAGCTATGCAGCGACTGGAACTGGAGGAAGCGAAGGAAGTGGCGACCGAGCAGAGGACGGTCGCGCTGAAAGCAGTCGCCAGGTGCGTCGAGGAGATAGGAAAGGTTTGTTCGACCGCGACTAGTCGACGGAAAATCGAGGTCAGCCTTGTCCAGCAGGCACAAGTAGCCGAGCTGACACAGATCCTTGAAACAATTTCCAGCCCGATTCAAGCACTGAAGGCTACCATGTCCGAAATCGTCGCGCAGCCGCTAGAAGAAGCCGAATCCTTGGATCGGGCAGGTAAAGGAACCTTCGAAGCTCTGAAACCTTTGGTGCAGCCCCTGGAAGAGCTGGAGCAGGCGCTGGTGTCGGCTGTTCATCAAGTCGTCGCACCAACGCCGGAGTCCCCGGAGAAAGCAAAGGAGAGCGAGAAGATCCCATTGACTCCGGCGTTGAAGAAGCTGCAGAAGTCCATAACCATGATCGAAGAGCAGGTGTCGCTGCAGGCTAAGAGGGCTGAGACGTCTCTGGTCGAAGGCGAAGCTGCCTTAGCTCAGATCATAGAAGCTCCCTTGCAAGAACTAAAATCTTCCGTGGAGTCGATGCAGCGGCTAGAACTGGAAGAAGCGAAAGAGCTGACGTGCGAGGAGAAGACGGCTGCGTTGAAAACGGTCGCCAAGTGTGTGGAAGAAATTGGAAAGATATGTTCTTCAGCCGCGGCTAGTCAAAGGACAGCAGAGATCAGTCTTGTCGAACGACCGCAGGTGGCTGAGCTGACGCAGATGCTCCAAACAATTTCCAGCCCGATTCAAGTACTGAAGGAGACCATGTCTGAGATCGAGACGCTGTCGACGGAGGAGGCAAAGCCTTTGGACGACACTGGGAAGGACATATTGGAGGCGCTGAAGCCACTGGTGCATCCTCTGGATGAATTGCAGCAGGCGTTGACATCGACTGTTCAGCGAGGCGAAGCGGCGACGTGGGAATCCACGGACGAGACGAAGGACGGCGGTCGAGCCGCTGAAAAGGTGACCTTGGCGCCGGTGCTGGAGCAGCTGCGAAGGTCCGTCGCTGTGATCGAGCAGCAGGTTTCTGCTAAGACGGCTCAAGTGTCCACGATGGGAGCTAAGAGCTCGGTTGCCGAGATCGTGGAGGCGCCGCTGCAAGAGTTGAAGACGTCCATGGAAGCAATTCAGGAATTAAAGCTGGAAGAAACGCGGGAGCTGACGGCGGAGGAGAAGACGGAGGCTCTGGCGGCGGTTGCGAAATGCGTGGAGCAAGTGGGGAAAGTATGTTCTGTCGTGGCTAGCCAGCAGAAGGTCGAGGCGAGTCTTCAACAGTCGCAGGTGGCCGAGCAAGTCCTCGAAGCGATGGCCAGTCCTCTTCGAATTTTGAAGGAGTCCGTGTCGGAGATCGAAGCGCGGCCGACCGAGGAAGCAGAACCTTTAGACAAGTCGGGCAAGGACGTAGTGGAAGCTCTGAAGCCACTGATGCATCCTCTGGAGGAACTGCAGCAGGCGCTGGCCTCGGCTGTCGAACAGGTCGGCGGGGTCGCGCTGAAAAGCGCAGGCGAGACGAAGGAAGGTGGCTTGCAGGTGGAGTCGGTCAAGTTGACTCCGGTCTTGGAAGAATTGCAGAGGTCCATCGCTGTGATCGAGCAACAGGCGTCCGTGGAAGCTAAGAAAGCGGAGACGTCGGCGGTGAAAGCCGAGAGCTCCGTCGCGAAGATGATAGAAGCTCCGCTGGAGCAGCTGAAGTCCTCGGTCGAGGCGATGCAGAAGCTGGAACTGGAAGAGGCCAAAGAGCTGACCATCGAGCAGAAGACGACGGCTCTGAAGATTCTCTCAAAATGCGTCGAGGAGGTGGGGAAAGTGTGCTCGGCCGCGGCCAGTCGGCAGAAGGTCGAGGTCAGCCTGGTTCAGCAGCCGCAGGCAGCCGAGTTGACGCAGGTTCTCGAAACCCTGACGAGTCCCATTCAACTATTGAAAGAAGCTACGTCAGAAATCGACGCGCGATCGGCCGAAGAAGCCGAGTCGTTGGATCGATCCGGTAAAGAAGTGCTAGAGGCCCTGAAGCCGTTAGTGCAGCCTCTGGAAGGACTGGAGCAGGCTTTGACCACAGCCTTGGAGTCGGCCGGCGAAATGAAGAAAGCTGATGTGCAAGTTGAGACAGCGAAATTGGCTCCTGTACTGGAAGAGCTACAGAAGTCGATCGCTGTGGTCGAAGAACAGGTGTCGATGGAAGCTAAGAAAGCTGAGAGCTCCGTCGCGAAGATGATAGAAGCTCCGCTGGAGGACCTGAAGACTTGCGTCGAAGCCGTGCAGAAGCTGGAAATGGAGGAAACGAAAGCTCTGACCTCGGACGAGAAGACCCAGGCGCTGAAAGCTGTCGCGAAATGCGTGGAACAGATTGGTAAAGTGTGCTCTGCTGCAGGTACTCAGCAGAAGGTCGAGGTCAGCCTGGTTCAGCAGCCACAGGCAGCCGAGTTGACGCAGGTTCTCGAAACCCTGACGAGCCCCATTCAACTATTGAGAGAAGCTACGTCAGAAATCGACGCGCGATCGGCCGAAGAAGCCGAGTCGTTGGATCGATCCGGTAAAGAAGTGCTAGAGGCCCTGAAGCCGTTGGTGCAGCCTCTGGAAGGACTGGAGCAGGCTTTGACCACAGCCTTGGAGTCGGCCGGCGAGATGAAGAAAGCTGATGTGCAAGTTGAGACAGCGAAATTGGCTCCTGTACTGGAAGAGCTACAGAAGTCGATCGCTGTGGTCGAAGAACAGGTGTCGATGGAAGCTAAGAAAGCTGAGAGCTCCGTCGCGAAGATGATAGAAGCTCCGCTGGAGGACCTGAAGACTTGCGTCGAAGCCGTGCAGAAGCTGGAAATGGAGGAAACGAAAGCTCTGACCTCGGACGAGAAGACCCAGGCGCTGAAAGCTGTCGCGAAATGCGTGGAACAGATTGGTAAAGTGTGCTCTGCTGCAGGTACTCAGCAGAAGGTCGAGGTCAGCCTGGTTCAGCAGCCGCAGGCAGCCGAGTTGACGCAGGTTCTCGAAACCCTGACGAGTCCCATTCAACTATTGAAAGAAGCTACGTCAGAAATCGACGCGCGATCGGCCGAAGAAGCCGAGTCGTTGGATCGATCCGGTAAAGAAGTGCTAGAGGCCCTGAAGCCGTTGGTGCAGCCTCTGGAAGGACTGGAGCAGGCTTTGACCACAGCCTTGGAGTCGGCCGGCGAGATGAAGAAAGCTGATGTGCAAGTTGAGACAGCGAAATTGGCTCCTGTACTGGAAGAGCTACAGAAGTCGATCGCTGTGGTCGAAGAACAGGTGTCGATGGAAGCTAAGAAAGCTGAGAGCTCCGTCGCGAAGATGATAGAAGCTCCGCTGGAGGACCTGAAGACTTGCGTCGAAGCCGTGCAGAAGCTGGAAATGGAGGAAACGAAAGCTCTGACCTCGGACGAGAAGACCCAGGCGCTGAAAGCTGTCGCGAAATGCGTGGAACAGATTGGTAAAGTGTGCTCTGCTGCAGGTACTCAGCAGAAGGTCGAGGTCAGCCTGGTTCAGCAGCCGCAGGCAGCCGAGTTGACGCAGGTTCTCGAAACCCTGACGAGTCCCATTCAACTATTGAAAGAAGCTACGTCAGAAATCGACGCGCGATCGGCCGAAGAAGCCGAGTCGTTGGATCGATCCGGTAAAGAAGTGCTAGAGGCCCTGAAGCCGTTAGTGCAGCCTCTGGAAGGACTGGAGCAGGCTTTGACCACAGCCTTGGAGTCGGCCGGCGAAATGAAGAAAGCTGATGTGCAAGTTGAGACAGCGAAATTGGCTCCTGTACTGGAAGAGCTACAGAAGTCGATCGCTGTGGTCGAAGAACAGGTGTCGATGGAAGCTAAGAAAGCTGAGAGCTCCGTCGCGAAGATGATAGAAGCTCCGCTGGAGGACCTGAAGACTTGCGTCGAAGCCGTGCAGAAGCTGGAAATGGAGGAAACGAAAGCTCTGACCTCGGACGAGAAGACCCAGGCGCTGAAAGCTGTCGCGAAATGCGTGGAACAGATTGGTAAAGTGTGCTCTGCTGCAGGTACTCAGCAGAAGGTCGAGGTCAGCCTGGTTCAGCAGCCACAGGCAGCCGAGTTGACGCAGGTTCTCGAAACCCTGACGAGCCCCATTCAACTATTGAGAGAAGCTACGTCAGAAATCGACGCGCGATCGGCCGAAGAAGCCGAGTCGTTGGATCGATCCGGTAAAGAAGTGCTAGAGGCCCTGAAGCCGTTGGTGCAGCCTCTGGAAGGACTGGAGCAGGCTTTGACCACAGCCTTGGAGTCGGCCGGCGAGATGAAGAAAGCTGATGTGCAAGTTGAGACAGCGAAATTGGCTCCTGTACTGGAAGAGCTACAGAAGTCGATCGCTGTGGTCGAAGAACAGGTGTCGATGGAAGCTAAGAAAGCTGAGAGCTCCGTCGCGAAGATGATAGAAGCTCCGCTGGAGGACCTGAAGACTTGCGTCGAAGCCGTGCAGAAGCTGGAAATGGAGGAAACGAAAGCTCTGACCTCGGACGAGAAGACCCAGGCGCTGAAAGCTGTCGCGAAATGCGTGGAACAGATTGGTAAAGTGTGCTCTGCTGCAGGTACTCAGCAGAAGGTCGAGGTCAGCCTGGTTCAGCAGCCACAGGCAGCCGAGTTGACGCAGGTTCTCGAAACCCTGACGAGCCCCATTCAACTATTGAGAGAAGCTACGTCAGAAATCGACGCGCGATCGGCCGAAGAAGCCGAGTCGTTGGATCGATCCGGTAAAGAAGTGCTAGAGGCCCTGAAGCCGTTGGTGCAGCCTCTGGAAGGACTGGAGCAGGCTTTGACCACAGCCTTGGAGTCGGCCGGCGAGATGAAGAAAGCTGATGTGCAAGTTGAGACAGCGAAATTGGCTCCTGTACTGGAAGAGCTACAGAAGTCGATCGCTGTGGTCGAAGAACAGGTGTCGATGGAAGCTAAGAAAGCTGAGAGCTCCGTCGCGAAGATGATAGAAGCTCCGCTGGAGGACCTGAAGACTTGCGTCGAAGCCGTGCAGAAGCTGGAAATGGAGGAAACGAAAGCTCTGACCTCGGACGAGAAGACCCAGGCGCTGAAAGCTGTCGCGAAATGCGTGGAACAGATTGGTAAAGTGTGCTCTGCTGCAGGTACTCAGCAGAAGGTCGAGGTCAGCCTGGTTCAGCAGCCGCAGGCAGCCGAGCTGGAGCAAGCGCTCGAGATCATCGCGACGCCTCTGCAAGTGCTGCGCGAGACGGTCTCCAAGGTGGAGGAGCAGAAGACCCTGGAAGCCGAGGGTCTAGCCGCGTCCGACACCGAGAAAGTGGCAGCCATGTTGAACACCCTGGTGAGCCCTCTGGAGCAGCTGGAAAGGTCTCTGTCGGTGGCCGTCGAGCAAACCAGCATCCTCAAAGACGAGTCCGCTTCGGAGATGAAAGGCGACAGCTCTCTAAAGTCGAACGTCGAGCCGGTTCTTCAAGAATTAGAAAAATCGGTTGCTGAGATCCAGGAGCATGTCTTCCTCGAGGCTGCAACAGACAGCAGCGACCTTGAGAAGTCCGTGGCGAGGACGTTGAAGGAGCCGTTGGAGCAACTGAAGTCCTGCATAGCAGCCGTGCAGGAGACGATGTCCACGGAGGTCGCAGAGACAGCCGCTGCGCCGGACAAAATAACAACCTTGAAGGTGTTCGCGAAGTCGGTGGAGGACCTCGGCGAGAAATGCCTGGCGGTGATCACGCGGCAGCAGGTGGAGGCGCGAGCGGCCCCGACGAGGTTAGAGGAGTCGCAAGTGGCGATCCTGGAGATGGTGATCGGTCCTCTTCAGGTACTGAGAGAGTCCATTAGCAAGATCGAAGAAGAGCAGCCGGAGGAAACGAAATCTTTGGATAAATCGAAGGCGGAGGAAGCGGAGAAGGGATTGAAGAGCCTGGTGGAACCGCTGGCGAAGCTGGAGACGTCTTTGTCGTCGACCTTGCAGCAGGCTGCGTCGATGCGATTACAAAAAGCCGAAGAAGTAACACAGCCATCTTCCACTTTTCAGAGCTTGGAACTTTCTCCCGCGATCCAGGAGCTGCGGAGGCGCGTCGCCATGGTGCAGGACCAAGCAGAGGTGCAAACCGCGAGCCAGGAGGCTTCCGTGAAGGCTTCTCCGGCGGACAGGAACTTCTTGGCAGCCGCGAAGAAGTCGTTGGCCGACTTGGACGCCTCGCTCGCGGTCGTCGAGAACGCGGCGGCCGCTCAGCCGGAGAAGGAGAAGCTTCGAGGCGCGGAAACCAAGGCGACGGTGCAGAGGTTCGCCGAGTCGACGGAGGAGTTCAAACGGAGGTCGCTGACAGCGATCGCGCGGCGATACGCGGGCGCGAGGGTCAGCGCCAAGGTGCTGCAAACGATCATCGCTCCGGTTCAAGTGCTGCGCGAGACCATCGCCAAGATCCAGGAGGAGTCTACGGAGGAAGCGGAAGCTCTGGAGGCGGAGGACGCGGACGTCCAGAAGCTGGCGCCGCTGATACACCCTCTGGAGCAACTGGAGAGATGCTTGGTCACCACGGCGCACCAGGCAACCGAAGGAGTTGCTGAAGAGGAGCCGCAAGACCCTGTGATCCTCGAGCCGATCCTCGAGGAGCTGAAGGAGAGCATCGTCGCGGTCGAGCAAGAATTACCAAGCGCTAAAGACACCTCGAAGATGGACCTCGCCGACAGCATCAGGCAGGCGATCGCAAACCTGAAGTCGACCACAACGGCGGTCCAGAGGACGGTGACGACGCCGCTGGAGATCAACGAGGAGATGAAGAAGGAGAAGGCGTCGGTTCTGCGAGACTTTGCGAAGTCGATGGAGCAGCTGCAGCAGCGTTGCTCCTCGGCTGCGGCGCGGCGTCGAAAGGAGCCGCAAGACCTGCAACCGGACAGACCTAAACCAACAGAAATGAAGATAGTAGACGTCGAGGTGCTCCAGAAAGTCGGCAGCACCGTGCACACCTTGCGCGAGTCCCTTTCGCTGATAGAAGAGGCGACCACTCTGGAGTCGAAGGAGCTCGAAAGGAGCTCCTCCGGCGAGGAAGCGAAGCTGAAATTAAACGTGCTGATCGAGCCGCTGGGCGTCCTAGAGCGAGTTTTAGCGTCAGCCGTCCAAGAAGGCGTCGCGGTTCCTGCGGAAGCCGCGGAGGAGTCGAAACCACCGGAGATTTCGCTGGAGAAATTGCGGCCGGTGCTCGAAGAGCTGCAGAATTCAATCGTCGTTGTTCAACAACAGGTCAGCGAGGTCGCGACGTCGGGCGACATCCAGGTGCTGAATCTGGCGAAGGCGATGGAGAGGCCTCTGACAGAGCTGAAGATGTCGATCGCAGCGGTTCAAGAGATGACCGAGACGGACGAGGCAAAGCTGACGAAGATGGACGAGAGAGCGCGGCTGGAAGTCTTCGCCGAGACGGTGGAGGCATCTGGAAAGCAGCTCCTGGCGGTGGCGAAGCAGGAAGCCAGGCAGATGTTAGAGGTCCTCGGATCGAGGAGGATGACCGAGGACCACGAAGAGTTCGCGAAGACCGTGCTCGCGCCGATCGCCGAGCTGCAGAGCGCGATCTTGGAGCTCGACGAACGCGGCAGGTCTGCAACGGCCGGCCAGAAGGAGGCCGTGATCTTCCTCAGCATCGTGCAGCCGCTGCATCAGCTGGAGGAGTCCTTCTCGTTGGCCCTGCAGGACCAGCTGGCGCCTATCCCTATTTTGCAGGAGCTGCCCGTGAAGGCCACGATGCAGGAGCTGAGCAGACAGGTGGCGGAGATCCAGGAGCAGTTGGTGCTGGTGAAGGAGACGCTGAGTGTAACCGGGGACGCCGAAGACCAGGCTCTGGTCAAGGACGTGGAGCGTTCGCTGAGCGATCTGAGGACCTCCGCGGCGGTGGTGCAGCAGCTGACGGCGATAGAGGCGCCGGGTCGGCAGGTGTTGGACGTGGAGAACGTGTCCGCGCTGCAGGCGTTCGGCAAGGCCGTGGAGGAGTTCAAGAGGCACTGTTTGGCCATGGTGTCGAGTCCCAGGGTGATCTCCGCGGTGGTTGGATCGGTGGAGCCGCGGCCGACGAAGGCAGAAGTCATCTTAGCTCCCAGCAAGATCCTGCGGGAGTCTGTCTCGACGATCGAGGAGATGAAGAGCCAGGAAGCGGCGGCACTGGAGACGAAGAAGCCTGTGACAGTGCTGAGCGTCCTCATGAGCCCGCTTCAGCGGCTGGAACAGTCGTTCGTCGCGGCCATTCAAGGCGAGCACGTGGCCGAGCAGACGGCCGAGAGCCTTGAAGAGCAAGCGACCTTCGAGGCGACGAGCCTGCGTCCGATACTCGAGGAGTTCCAGAAGTCGATCGCCGTCGTCCAGGAGCACATCCTGGCGGAGGCCGCGCACAGCCTGTCGGAGGAGGCCTCGCAGGAGGACCTGCAGCTGATGGCGCGGACGCTGGCGGAGCTGAGGACCTCGGCGGCGGCCATCCAGCAGATCCCGCAGGCGGCGCCGGAATTCGCCGACGAGCTGTCGCGAGCCGAAGGTGTCTCCGCCTTCGAGACGTTCGCGAGATCTCTCCGGGACTTAGCGGAGCGGCTGGCCGCCGTCGACCATCAGCAGATCCTGATGGAGCCCGCGGCGGACACCATCTCCGAGGACGTGTCATCGCTGAAGACCTGGGGCGACGTCATCGAGGAGCCGGCCGTCCGGGTCACCGAAGCCATGGTGGTAGACCAGGGCACCGTTGAATCGCCGTCGGAGATGGCCGTCTCCCTTTCCGAGGACGAGGCGCAGGCCCTGAAGAGTCTAGCCAAGCCTCTCAGCGAGCTCAGAGAGTGCCTGGCGCTGGTGGTGGAGGAGCGGAAGCCGATCGACGGCAACGAGGCGATCGTCGCGCTATCGGAGAAGGAGGACCTGTCGCTGCTGAAGAGCATGGCGCGACCCCTGCTGGAGCTGAAGGCCGCGGCCGCGTCCGTGATCCACGAGCAGGTCGCAGTCGAGTCCGCGAAAGAGAAGGCCTTCGACCACGCCAAGGAGGCGGCCACCTTGAACCCGCTGATCGAGCCCCTCGAGGAGCTCTGCAAGTCCATCGCGCTGATCCAGGACCACATCCTGGTCGAGTCGGCGGAGGAGCGGCCGGCCGACGAGGCCACCTTGCTGACCGCCTTGGTGGAGCCGCTGATCACGCTTCAGAGAAGCATCTGCGTGCTAGAGGAGCGCGTGCTGTCGCCGGACGTGGTCTCACTGCCCGAGGAATCCAGTTGGATCAGCGAGTGCCTCGCCGTCCCGCTGCAGGAGATTGAGAGGTCGATAGCCGAGATCCACGAGTGCATCGTCGTGGAGGAGCCCGCTGTCGAGGAGCAGCTGTCCAAGGTGGAGATGATCGACTGGTCCGTGGTCGAGAAGCTGGTGCAGCCGGTTCAGAGGATAAGGGCGGTAATCGTCGGGATGCGGGAAGAAGCAGGCGTCGCCGGGAAAGCGGACAAGGCTCGCTGCGACTTGGTGAACGCGTTGGTGCAGCCGCTGACCGAGGTGCACGAGAGCTTCCTGGCGCTGAAGAACAGAGTCGAGATGAGTCCCGAGGAGGAAGAGGCCAGCATCGACGCCATAGTGGACTCCCTGTCCAGCCTGGAGAAGAGCATCTCGTTCATCGAGGAGCAAACCGTCGAGCGAAGCAAGGGGATTGTAGGCAGCTTGGAGGAGCCTCTGGCGCAGCTGAAGAACTCAATCATGACCGTGGAGGAATCATCGACGGTGTACCTCGACAATCTGGAGCAGCCGCTGAAGGATCTGCAAGCTGCTTTGGAGACAGCCTCGCGGGAGCAAGAAGAACGAGCGCGAAGGAAGAAGAAGACCGCTGTGCCTGTGGAAGAGGTGGTGAGGATTTCTACCAAGATCACGATCTCCATCAACGAGATCAACGTCTCGATCGAGACGATCGATCGCAAGCTAGATAGCTACAAGGACTTGTTGGGGATCGAGATTCGGATCGAGAACGAAGCGCTGAAGACTCTGACCGCGCCGCTGGAGGATCTTAAAGAGGCTGTCCGTCGGGTACAGACAAACGGCGTCGAGCAATCTTCGATGGACTCCCTGAAACGGCTTCAAAGGTCTATCGATATTATTTGTCAGCAAGCCGCCGATAAACCGTCCGCCGAACCTCCGCATTCCGAGGCTGCTGACAGGGTCAGGGTGTTGAAACCGTTGGCACCGAGTCTGCAGCAATTAGAGACGACGATCAAGAGCGTCGAGGCGCTGTGGCAGGACGAATTGACCGGCGAAGGGCTGCTGGAGTTGGAAACACCGATTGCTAATCTGATGAACGCGGTGAACGTGTTGTGCGACAAGCTGTCGAGGATGGAGGTGGTCTGGGTAACCGAAGAAGAAGAAGAGAAGAAGGAGAAGAAGGAAGTGTCGGATGAAGAGAAGAAAGTGAAAGTTGAAGAGGAAGAAGAAAAGTTGCGACAGGAGGAGGAGGAACGTATGCAGAAGGAAGAGACTGAGAGGTTGAAGCTGGAAGAGGAACGTAGAAAGCAGGAAGAAGAAGAATACAAGAAGAAGGAAGAAGAACGACTCGAGCAGAAGGAAGAGGCTGAGAGATTGAAGTTGGAAGAGGAACGTAGAAAGCAGGAAGAGGAAGAATACAAGAAGAAAGAGGAAGAACAACTCGAGCAGAAGGAAAAGGCTGAGAGGTTGAAGCTTGAAGAAGAACGTAAAAAGCAAGAGGAAGAAGAGCACAAGAAGAAGGAAGAAGAGGCTGAGAGGTTGAAGCTTGAAAAAGAACATAAAAAACAGGAGGAAGAACAACTTGAGCAGAAAGAAGAGGCCGAGAAGTTGAAGCTGGAAGAGGAACGTAAAATGCAAGAGGAAGAAGAACGAAAGAGAAAAGAAGAAGAAGAACTTAAGCAGAAGGAAGAGTCTGAGAGATTGAAGCTTGAAGAAGAACGTAAAAAGCAAGAGGAAGAAGAGCACAAGAAGAAGGAAGAAGAACAACTCAAGCAGAAAGAAGAGGCTGAGAGGTTGAAGCTTGAAGAAGAACGTAAGAAGCAAGAGGAAGAAGAGCACAAGAAGAAGGAAGAAGAAGAACTTAAGCAGAAGGAAGAGGCTGAGAGATTGAAGCTGGAAGAGGAACGTAAAATGCAAGAGGAAGAAGAGCACAAGAAGAAGGAAGAAGAACAACTGAAGCAGAAAGAAGAGGCTGAGAGGTTGAAGCTTGAAGAAGAACGTAAGAAGCAAGAGGAAGAAGAGTACAAAAAGAAAGAAGAAGAACAACTTAAGCAGAAGGGGGAAGCTGAAAAATTAAAGATTGAAGAAGAACGTAAAAAGCAAGAGGAAGAAGAACTGAAACAGAAAGAGGAAGCGGAACAATTGAAGATTGAACAGGAACGTAAAAAGCAAAAGGAAGAAGAACGAAAGAAAAAGGAGGCGGACGAGCTCGAACAGAAGAAAGAAACTGAAGAATTGAAGCTCGAAGAAGAAAGCAAACAGCGCGAAGAAGAAGAATGCAAGAAGAAGGAGGCGAAAGAGCTCGAACAGAAGAAAGAAGCTGAGAAATTGAAGCTCGAAGAAGAAAGCAAACAGCTCGAAGACGAAGAACGCAAGAAGAAGGAGGCGAAAGAGCTTGAACAGAAGGAAGAAGCTGAAAAATTGAAGCTCGAAGAAGAAAGCAAACAGCGCGAAGAAGAAGAACGCAAGAAAAATGAGGCAGAAGAGCTCAAGCAGAAGAAAGAAGCTGAAAAATTAAAGATTGAAGAACAGCGCAAAAAGCAGGAAGAGGAAGAACGTAAGAGGAAAGAGGAGGAAGAACTGAAACAGAAAGAGGAAGCCGAAAAGTTGAAGATTGAACAGGGGCGTAAAAAGCAACAGGAAGAAGAACGTAAGAGAAAAGAAGAAGAAGAACTTAAGCAGAAGGAAGAAGCTGAGAAATTGAAGATCGAAGAAGAACAACGCAAAAAGCACGAAGAAGAAGAAGAGCGTAAGAGAAAGGAAGCAGAGCTCAAGCAGAAGGAAGAAGCTGAGAAATTAAAGATTGAAGAAGAACGTAAGAGAAAAGAGGAAGAAGAACTGAGACAAAAAGAGGAAGCAGAAAAATTGAAGATTGAAGAAGAACGTAAAAAGCAAGAGGACGAAGAACGTAAGAAAAAGGAGGCGGAAGAACTCGGACAGAAGGAAGAGGCTGAGAAGCTAAAACAGGAAGAACAAAAGAGAATAGAAGCTGCCAAGGAGCTGGAAGAGAAGCGCAAGAAGGAGGAGACGGAAAAACTGAGACTGGAGGAAGAAGAGAGGAAGAAAAAAGAAGAGACCGAAAGGTTGAGGCAGGAAGAGGAGCGGAAACAGAAGGAAGAAGAGCAAAGATTGAAGGCGGAAGAGGATCGCAAACGTAAAGAGGAGGAGGAGGAGAGATTGAAACAGGATGAGGAACGACGGAAAACGGAACAGGCCGAGAAGATGAAACTAGAAGAAGAAGAACGAAAAATGAGAGAAGAGAAGGAGAAGCGAAAGCGTGAAGAAGAGGAGCGTAAGAAGCAGAAAGAAGCTGAAAGGTTGAAGGAGGAAGAACGTGAAAAGAGAGAGCAAGAGGAACAAATGAAACGAGACGAAGAAAAACGCAAACAGGAAGAAGAAGCTATGAAACTGAAGGAAGAGGAGGAGCGTAAAAAGATCGCAGAGGCGGAGAAGACGAGGTTGGAAGAACAGAAACGTGAACAAGAGGAGGAGGCCAAGAAATTGAAGGTGGAGGAAGAGAAACGCAAGCAAGAAGAGGAAGCTAAGAAACTAAAAGAAGAAGAAGCGAAACGCAAGCAAGAAGAGGAAGCTAGAAAACTAAAAGAGCAAGAAGAGAAACGCAAGCAAGAAGAAGAAGAAGCTAAGAAACTGAAAGAAGAAGAAGAGAAACGCAAGCAAGAAGAGGAAGCTAGAAAGCTAAAAGAAGAAGAAGAAGTGAAACGTAAACAGGAAGAGGAAGCGAAGAAATTGCGAGAAGAAGAAGAACGCAAGAAGGCCAAGGAGGCTGAGAAACTGAAGCTAGAAGAACAGAAACGTCAACAAGAAGAGGAGGCGAAGAAACTGAAGGAAGAAGAGGAACGTAAGAAGACCGAGGAGTCTGAGAAACTGAAGCTAGAAGAACAGAAACGTCAACAAGAAGAGGAGGCGAAGAAACTGAAGGAAGAAGAG